TAATGTAGTGTGTGTGTAGATAGTGAATAATTGAACTGCAGTCAGAAGTATTGTTGACGTTCGTTGATATAGCGTTTGTTTTAGCGCGATTGTTGAAAATCAGTGTATCGTAAAGTTATATTCAGAAAGAATAAACCAGTTTTATTAAGTACGGACTTGTGCCGCTAAAGTTTCGTCGGAACGAAGTTACGGAAAATTAATTAACAAACGGAGACGTAACAATACGTATTCAGAATATGTAAGAGTAAACTTAACCTGTTCACGTTAACCTGTAATTTGTTATTACGAAGTTTACTTATAAATGTGGTGATTTGAGTGACATATTCAAATCTGTAGTTCTGTTCGTTAAAAGTGCTACTTTACGACCTGAGTAAAAGCGTAACACAATCTAAATCACACTAAAATATTTGCAAGGCCTCAATTGAACAATTCTTTGGTAAAAAGCAAGATTTAAAAACAAAACTTAGTGTGAATAAACGTATACATGACGTCTGCTCACTTGAGACGAAAAAACATCTATCGACTTTATACAGTACTGAACTATCGGTTAACACAGTATTTCTAATTTCAACTGGAAAACTCGGTTCTTAGTACATCTGTGAACACATTTCTAAATTTCAAGATTAAATGAAGTATACATTTTGGTGGACAGAAAGACGCATGCGTTGCACAGTCTCTCCTCTCGCTCGACCACGGCAAGTCATCTAAGTACAACCAAACTTCACGGAAGCCACGCCTTTTACTACAACAACCGCTAAGATTATCAACAAACCAAGGAAGATGCGAAGAGAAATAACTTTAATTCTGACCACCCCTGGGTTATTACACCTAAATACCTATCAAGACTGGATCGGACACTTTACTTTCAATAGCGAGAAACAGAAAATAAATAAATCCGTCCTTGCTTATCGTCAGTATTATAAAAGTGTTAAAGTAAATGGCATCCTATTTAGTTACTGAACTTCGGCTAAATGTTGATCCAAAAGTAACGAGTATTTTATTTCGAAACTAAGCTCTATTCATATTAATAAAATATCATACATAGAATCATTTTGGCACTAACGCAGCAGCTCGGGTGAAAATATACAAGACAAAAACATACAAACAAACAATGTTTAAGTAGATATATGTTAGAAATGTAAATAAATTATGGATATTGAAAACTTAAAAATTTGTAGATGTATGTTTGACCAAAATTTTGCTTGAGATATATCTTTTGTTGGATATTTGTTTTTTTTCAAAAAAAAACAACA